CCCTCGGGCCATCTTTGTCTGACTTCTACTTCAAATTCTGGACAGTTGCTTCCTACTGCAAACCTATCTCGTACTCGTTCATCTAAGCTATCTCCATATTTACAACTTCTAGCTAAAGACTTCAATCTGTTATAAAACAAAATAAATGTCTCACCATCTTTTCTTATTGCTCTTTCAAACTCAAACCTTGTTGCAAAAAGGGTCCTTGTAGGCTTGAACAACCGGTTGGCTTCCTCTTTGACTTCGTCGTAGGTGCACTCCTCCCAGGCCCTTGGATACATCTGGTCCGACAGTGCCCTGAGGTGCTCCTCTCCGATATTTGCCAATAGAAGATCTCGCCGAGCCGCTTGTTCTTCTGTGTTAGCACCACCAAGTCCCTTAACTCTGCAGGTCAACTCAAAACGAGTTATGTAGTCTTCCCACAATTGTTCACTATTATATTCTTTAAATGAAAATCTGCTCATTCTATCTTGTATGCAAGACATGTTACTACAGTCAATTACACTCTTATACTGAGACTGGTCTGTTTTCCTAGGCATTTTCTCGTCGCCAATATAGAATAATTAATTATTAAAACTCATTTTAAGTAAACTAAATCAATAATATTTATTTACAAGAACAAACAATAATGTAAACAAACCAAATGGCAGATGATTCATAACTTTATAACTCAGCTGATAATAATAATCCTACATAACCCAAACATGAGTGAAGGATGTGTGTAGAATGGAGTGAAGTGCCATGTGTATTTTTTTACTGACTAAACTTTAGTTGTTTTTAGCCAGAACTATTGATTAAAAGCCTAATAATCAAGGACAGCTCAATAGGTTACGTTTAAAACCACAGACAACTTTTTGATGTTTTTAAGAATCAAATTGGCAACCATTTGCTTGTTAGGCGAGCAATTTAACCACTCAGCTACTCAGCTATTAATATACTCTTGTAATTGTTCACATATCACGTTTTATTCATCCTTACATCTTATAAGGGTTAACAGCTCAAAATACAAAGGATGGTTCAACCATGAGAAAGCATAACTCTTTCCACGCTTTCCCACACGTTTTTCGCTGCATTGTATTCGGAAATGCGCCTCGTACAATGTGTTCTACCACAATGCACCAGTATGGACTTTCTACTTGTTAATTTTAACAAAGAACCAAAATAACACAAATACCAAATTTGCTTATAAATATTTGAATAGGTTATGTTAAACACTTTTTGGGATATTTTAAACGGTTATGAACCACAGTTATACTCGTTTATTATTGACGACTCACAAATTTTAAGAACTTAGGACTATCTTGACTGTTTGCTCCAGTAAAGAATTTGTTTACTCCTTTCCCTAATCTTGAATTATTGAATTTGACCTTCTACTGTTTGCATTCAGTTGCGAAGATTGCTTAGAAAGTTTTAAGATTGATGATAAAACTGTGTTGTTGTGTTAAAGTTGTGTTAAGCGGGAATCCATCCCTCAAGATAACTGTTGAATGTAACTTTTAATAGGGTGATGTATAACATGCATTCATCATTGTTTATGAAGAGGTCTTATGTATACTCATAACTACATTTTGAAATCAACTTACATCTGAATCAAACCAAATTTATTACCAGAGTTATGACATTATACAAGTTTTATCAAATAAAATTCAGTAAAAGTAATTCAAGAAGTACTGTATCACATAAATTTATAAACGAAAACTAACACATAACCTAGAAAAACAATGTTTTATTGAAATTAATAAAATCTATAGTAATTTAAATTTAGGAAGGTGACCAATTCGTGTGAGGAAAGTATCTGTACCTTTTATTGTTTCTTGTTTACTTGTTAAAACTATTGTTACATTGGTTGACTTTTTAGACTAAATTTTTTAATGTAATGAAGATAAATTTGACTGCAGTTGCAAGATTTATTCTGCCCCTCATAATGAAATGGGTTATTTTTCTATGGCCTTCTATGTAAATCTATTTTCATATAATCATTTGTGCAACCTACATTGTCAACCACTTATGGATCAGTATCACTCAGTAAGGCCAGGTAGAGCGCAACTGTTTAGCATGTTCTGCATGATGTATTGTTTCATAAGTTCCTATCAAGTTATGCGCTTAGTACTACTTAATGACTCCACATAGTTTGTGCTATCTTAGCAAGCTTACCAACAAGCTTTGTACTCATGTTCCTTATACGTTTGGACAGTTATTGAAATTTTAGTTGTAGAAACCTAGTTTAGATATATTTTATTTTGTCCTAGGACGCTAGGCACAAGCCCAGGATTGTTTTTCACATTACTTCAGGCTAGGTTGTGGCATTATCATCTAGATAAACTCCTTTGGTGATTAGGTGGGATTTGACCCTGGGACCTCAGGGACTGAAGTCCTGCGTTCTAACCACTAGACCACCTCGCTCCCCCTATTGGACAGTGTTATTTCAAATGTTTTTTACACCATTGACATTCTTTAATGACTTTGATTTTTGAAAGGGAATAGTTCAAATGTTGGTCTTGTAAAACAAGTGAAAAACTTTATTAACTTGATCATTTACAGATTTCCTCATCCTTATTTATGACTACTTGTTAGTTCTATTGTCAAAATTTTAGTACACAGTAAAATAGTAGTAACAGTTTTTGATCTTGTCTGCTTTCATAACTTGTGCTTGCCTAGTGGTCAGGAGGTTACTAGTTCGATTCTGTGAAATGTAAATTGCTTTTTGTGGTTTGAAACTATACCCAGCTGTATTTGATCATTGGGCTTAAATAATAATCGTAGGTGAAGAAACAGCTGGTCATAGTAACAAAGCTTTAATCTTATTCAGTCAGCACTCATCCTTCATACATCTTTGCCATACACATGCTGGTTCGTTGGCATCATATAAATCATAATAATCATATAAATCAAAATTAACCAAGGAATCTAATATGAATTCAGTTGTCATTCAACAATTATTTCAAGTTAAAGCCTGCAATATTATGCAACAACCTTAATATTATTACTAATGTATAAAATTTTTAAACTACTATACCGGCTAACCTTGGACTTATACTTGAGAATTCTCTTCATTTGTAATAAAAATAGTAATTTTTATATTTGTTTGCTTAATAAATAATGTAACAATATTACACAATAATTCTTTTATTATTTATTTTCTTAATAATTCAGTATGATTGGAAATAGTATTGAGTAACTTGTAAAATACAAAAATAAAATGGTAAATCAATGTATCTTTCCTGTAATCATATACAGTGGTACATTGAAGAGATTTAATTTTGTTACCGAAGATTACCAAATAATTACAGAATATTCAATTATGTGGATGCATTCACTCACAAAGAATGTGATCAGATAATAATCAATGATGTGATAATAAATACAAAGCTTTGTGAGACTCTAATCAGTTAATGAGTAAACTACATAGCATTGTTCTACTTTTTACAATATTTAAGCTTTTCCTTATGTAACTTTTATTTTTATTGATTATAAGAATGAGAACTGTTAATACTACATTATGGTAAAATAATTCTAGTTTGTCTAAGTTTATTCAAAATAATACTCATTGAATTTTCTCTATGGCTACAAAATAAATAATTGTTATAGTTGTAGAGACAGCTGTTTTAGCCTTATGTTAGGTATTTTTGAAATAAAAAGTGAACATTAGGACTTTTTTAACGTATGAATTTCAACAAGTTCCAAGGGTTGTATGAAATATTAATAGCTCGTAATTTGTTATCGCTTTGACTAAATCAGATTTTTGCAGTTTTAATCTCTTCAGGATCTCCATACTACCTATGGCTATCGTAGCATGCCATGGTTTGTTTGTAGACTATTTTTTTAAAGCTTTGGTATGTGTGAGTACTGGATTGAAACTTTGAAGTATTATCTCTCCCAACTCCTGGCATAATTTAAAACACATTTTAATCTTTGATTTAAAACATTTAATTGCACAACTTAACATAAAAACTATAACTGAGAATGATGGCATTTAACTCTGTAGTTGTTACGAGGATGATTAAAATTACATTGAACACCAAAGGTCGAAATATCAGCCATCTAGAGTAAAATAACCAAACCTTCACGTACAACCAAATTTGAGTAACCTCAACAATTCACCTGCTGTGTGTTCACCAATAGTATTTTTTGTTACTAAAGTAGGCTTTTTTTGGACGATATTGTGTTTAACGGTTGAGGCTTTGCCGAGTCCGGAAATTTGATTAAGTGACAAAAAAGCATTTTAGGATGAGTTACGAACAATATTTTTCATTACATTGTCATATATTATAGCAGAAAATACAAAGTATAGCCAAAACCGTTTGATTAAAAAGGAACGTTTACTTTACCAAACAAATCGAACAAGTACATAAATTATAGAGAGAACATTTTGAACAGCTGATTTGTTTTTGAGATAAGCTTTGACATAACCATATGATTCGAGTCCGTAAAATTTTACGGACTAGTCCGCAAATATCTATCTTTAGGGACTCAAAACGATCCGTAAGACAGCTGTTTTTGAGACAGAGTAATGAAAAAATCTTTTTTTAATAACTTATGTTATTGCTATCATAAGATGAAGGAAAAACATGTCAAACATACGTGTAGTTAAATCTCTGAACAATCCAATTGTTTATCAAACTCATATCCAGTCTTTACACATTCATACGCTACTATAAACAATGTTAACATGTTAACTTCACTTTTGTCAGGAAAACTTTCTGAGTCGTGTCCTTAAGAAAATCTTTGTTTAATTTCAACTGCCCAGAGGATAAGAGAATACGTTTTTTTGAGGAGGGGTTGGAGTATCACGATACTAAAAGGTTACCAAGCAAATGTACACATTGTAGACAAAATTTGATAGGAAAATTATGATTTTTAGAAGTACCAGTATGGAAACTTCCACAGCTGTATTCCAGCTAAGAAACCCAAGTGAGTTATAGATTAAGCCATACTAACTGATTCAATTATTGTTATCCATGATTCTTTGAGTTTATTTACAGATATGATGTCTGTTTCAGAGACCAAGATGTTAGTACGCATGTTCCGAGCTCACGGCCAGTTCTGCTCCAGCCACCCCTGCGAGGTGATAGTGGCCACCCTCACCCTTACTGCTTGTATGTTGTCCATGGAAAAACCCCCGCCATCACCCCCGCCTATAGTACCTCCGCACTGCCCTGCCGGAAACAGGAGTTGTCTTACACTCGAGGTAAATAGCGGAAACATGTGACAAGCTGTAATTGATTTGCTTTTATTGTCATCAAAATGTAAATGTTTATGATGTAAATGTTTAATTTTTACTTTCTCCCCCTATACATAGAATATGGAGAAAGTATTTGCGATTTGGAGTTTTGAATGGTAATATCAGCTTTGGGATTCCCTGAACCCACAAAATGGTTTTCTAAATGATGTCCGTGATTGTGTGTCCGATTTTGATGAAATTTGGCATGTTGGTAAAAATCCATGGTATCTTCAGACATTTTGCAAGTTTTTTTTTTAATTTCTTAAAAGTAGGTTTTTGAAAACAGTTTTCTCATAAAAACCAAAATAATGTAAAACTTGAATTTTCACAAAAATTACTCAAACTATTTTTATTTAAAATGTAGTATGTTATGGTCCTTTCAACTCAAGACAATAATTTGTAAAACCGAGTGCTTAAAATTTATGGTTCAAAAGTTTGTGATTTTACTAATAAAATACCATAGTTACACCCACCGCTTACCCATTACAAGGGGTTTTTACAAGCTAATGGGAGAAAGTATGTGTTAGTTTGCTGATATTGTTTATTTACTTTATTTTGATATAAAGTTTGATAAACAAGACCAAATTTTTACTCAAGTATAAATTTTGCATAATTTCCCACTATTTTACATTTAAATTATCTCAAGAATCTGTTAGCTAAGGTTCCAGAAAATCCCCCAAAAACCCATGCTGTGGACACCCTGAGTAGGCCTACCCAATTTTTATTTTTTACGGGACATTTTTTTTACAATAGACTGTATTATTTGTATTAATTTTTTAAAGTCAATAGTTTTTCTAAAGTTTAAATTACCACACTGTACCGTAATACGTTAATCTGTATTTTATATTTTCAGGATTACAATGCAGTAGACGTAATTGTGATGACCACAATCAGATGTATTGCAGTTCTCTACAGTTACTACCAGTTTTGTAATCTGCACAAGCTCGGCTCAAAGTACATACTTGGTGAGTTTAAAAAACCATTGAGTAAAGAACATTGGAAATGAAAAATTGCATGTTAAATTAGCAAGCAAACATTGATCCGAACAGCTGAATCAAAGAATTCCTAAGTGAAAAAAAATGTGGTTTATGTAGTTGTCTCTTGTAGTTTTCTCAAAAGTTCATGGGTACTTTTGGCTTTATATATAGATGTGTTTTGAAGTTGTAATTTTTCTGAAAAATTTAGTGCACTAGAATATAGCTATATGTTCAGCAAAAGTTTCAATAGTATAATTTTAATAACTTTTATGAAAGACAATCATATTCCCTTTTAAGACTCTGACATAATTGCCAAATCATAATAGCATATTTGACTAAAAGATAGCATATACTCTGAAAGGAGCTGGACTTCAGTGGTGACAGAGAATAAACAACATGACGTAAAACCAAAATGCATCCTAGACTATGATGCAAAACTGTAAGACAAAAACATTTTGAATGTAATGCTTCAAAGGATGCAATACTGAGATGGTGAAGAGCTTATAGCTAAACATTTTCTTAGGTTTGAGTTAAACAACTAATACGTCAAAATGAAAAGTTGGGATGCGCTGGAATGCAACTCTAGATTCAGGAAAAGTTACAATTCAACATTTTACTCTCAGAAACACAGAAAAAGTCGTAGTGCTCTGGAATGCAGCTGGATGTTCAATGACATGTTTGCCTTGACCCTGGCTTTCACTCATGATCTCATCTTACTTTTACTTTCATGCTCCCCCCCTCTCTTCCCCTCTCTTCTTTCCTGTAGGACTTTCTCTTTGGTCCAGCCTAGCCCTTGCAACTGTTTACATGACTAGAATGACTCATGGATGATTCATGATGTAATTAGAGACTACCTGTGAAATCATCCATGCCAATTTAGAGAATTTGATTTCTGGCTCTGTGTTAATGGTTTACTTAGAAAGTATTGAACTAATCTGTCATTTTTGTCATAAGTAGGCTATTTATTTATGGTATATCAAACTAACGGATAGACACACTCTACTTCTAAAAAATTACTCAGATTATATTCCTAATTATTTTTTGTCATACTAGCAATAACTGCCGTTTTTCATACCCGTGTTGTGGGTGTAAAGTAGACTGTATCAGCTGTTGTGAACAGTTGTAAATTTAAATTTCGATTGTAGCAATCGCATGTTCCGTAATTATTTATCGATTGATTTATTAGGTAAGGTTTTAGCTCGTTGTTGCATTCTTATCAATAGTTCGACATATCGAAGGTATAAATTACAGTAACTCAATCGTAATAGATGAAATGATTGAATTACTTACTAAACAGCTGCTTATTTACATTAGCAGAAATTAAAACAAGCTGAAAACAAGTCGTTTTGAGAGGTTATATTTATGTGAAAAGTATTTTTGTTTTCTAGCTTAGTCCTAGTTAATTAATGATGCAATATGACAAAAAATATAGTTCATCAGACGGGCAAAAAGGGTCTTTTCAAACCTCGCTCATTTTCAAACCTCGGCTTTGCCTCAATCGTAAAGCTTGTGCTCGCGTTGAAAAGAGTCTCTTTTGCCCTAGTAATGAAATAATATTAAAGTTCTGATTATATCTGACAGAATTTTTTATATCTAACGTTCACATAATTACAATATCGTGCCCCATAGTGCAGTGAGATAAGTACCAACATATTAACAAACTAAAACCAAGTAAAATAATGTTGGCATTATATTTTGACTGGTCGATCATAAGCGTGTAATACCCTCATGACTTAAAGAGAGTTTGATAATAGTGTAATAAATTGTCCCCCAATCATATTATTTTACTTTTTAATATATGAATTTGACAAACTCATATATATATTTTTATGGTCAAAAGAAATTGTTAGTATGTCGGAGACTACTAACTGTAAATTTGCACTTCAGTATTTTCGATACTCTGTTACTACTCTGTAAGATAGTCTTCTTTTATGATTAATCTAAAAATTCAACCTCCTAAGCAAACTATAAAATTTTGTAAGAACAATTTTTTTAAATACACGCTCAACTACTAATTTTTACCTTCAGCTCACTGAAATTCTTGTTGGGAAATAATCTTAAACAATATAAAAACATTCCTCCTACTTTAACTGTGTCAATGTAGTAAAATTTTGTTGAAAAAAAGGATTCTGGAATTTTGTAAAAAGTAGTTCTGTCCAAACCGCAGCAGGACCGTCAAGTGAATGTGGCACAACCAGTTTTGGTGACACTTACGGAAGTGTGTTTTATGGTAATTGGCTGACGCAAGATGTTAGTCCAAGAAGGCGGGAGGCAAGGAAAGATTTGTGTGTCACTGAGGTGGTACGACTCCGCCTGCAGTTTTGTAACTTATGTTTAAAGATGTTTTCGCAACCCTACTTTTGTCTTGAGGTTTGATTTCAAATCAAAGTAGCCTATTGTGTTTAATAGTGTTGTTATACTGTACTACTAAATCATTTTGAAATTCATTTTACCTTTTCAATGCCGGCTATATTTTTAAATTAATTGTGCGGGAAAGTTAAATTTTAGTCCTAGAACTTCATAGCAGCACCTCTTCAGAGACATCATAATTTTTTTCTATCCAGTGAAAAATGCTTATTAAGTTCAGAATGAAACTTTAAATATCCTAAAAGCCTTTTGAAAAGCATCTCGTCTTAGGTTAAGGCACAACTCTAAATTGTGTATTCTTTTCCCAAGCTAGTTATTCATCACTTGTTTAATATATCTATGTTTTTCCCAAAACAGATTTGTGTTGAAATCCTGGTTAATCAATGTTGATAAAAATTACCACTGGTTTTGTAATTTATCACTGTATTGGAGTCAATCTAGACATGTCACGTTCAACGGATCCAAACACCATTTTCTGTTTTTAACAGTGAAGATGAATTAAAAATTAGGGTTGAATAAATGTGATAATAGTTCTGTAACTGACTAAGATACGATGATCTTACTCAATGGTCAAGAAAAGCATTGGAGTCTAAAGCTTCACTATATCATCACGATGTTGTCCCCTGGCACTGCGGAGTGGGGGAAGCACAATTTTTATTTCAGCTGCAGTTTTTTAATACGGACAAAATGAGAGCATTCTATTGGCTGAGGGAACACCATTACCTTAACGATACGGTTTGGAGCCATCGGCCTCGGTGGTCTAATGGATAACATGCCGGGCTGAGAAACTGAAGGTAGCAAATTTGAATCCTATCTGTGGCACTAACCTTTTGTCCATGATTTTTGCATTATCAGCAAGTTTGGTTAGGTTATGACAGTTTAATTTTGTAATTAAAATTAAAACATTATAAAAATTGAATTTGAGCTATTATTGCTATAGAACTATTTTCCCCCCCGATTAGTAAACCTTCATCTGATTTTTTTTCATTATCAGCAAGTTTGGTTAGTTTGGTTAGGTTATGACAGTTTAATTTTATAATTAAGAAATTATAAAATTGAATTTGAGGCATTTACAACTTTATTTTATGAACAGAACTATTTTTTTATTAGTAAACCTTCATTAGATTTTTATTTTATATATTTTTTATATAATCAGCAAGTTTGGTTGGTTAGGTGAGTTTATAACATTTTATTTTCATAATTAATAAATTTAAAAAATAATTTAAAAATTTAAAAATTCTAGAATTAATTTTATAAATTTTGATTTTTTACTCTCATTTTGTCCTTATTGAAAAACTACATCATAGGTTATGTATGTAAAACAACGCGGACATGTTTGGACGCTGTCTAGAGGGGAGGTGGAGGGAGAATCATTTCCCCCACTCCGCAGCGCCAGGGGACAACATCGTGATGATACAGCAAAGTTTTAGACTCCAGTAAGAAAAGCTGGGTCCCAGCTAATTATGTACCGCAGATTGAATGATTACTATTCATATTTGAAAACACTAACTACTCTACAAACAAGTTATTAGTAACTGGTAGGCTACTTATTACTTAGTTTAACAAATTTTAACATTTTGCTACCATTAGGCCATACAAATTTGTTAAAAGAATTGATAAAAAATAATTCATTCCTGATATTCCACCTAATGATTTGTTGTTAATTAATTAATTTTTAACATATGGTATATTTAGTTAAAATATTAGATTAAAAAATTAATACAAGTTTCTCAAATCTAAAGATGAGGAGTGAGTTTTTTATTTGGCAGTCCACCCATTAAGTAACCCACCTGTTAGGAGAAAGTCGTTATTATGTAACATGAGACCTGCTTTTGGACCTCTTTTGTCACCGTTGAAAGACCTGGTGATCCTAAAAGACGCAATGTGGATTTTGGGGTCATTCTAGATCATTAGCCGATTTTCCTCGAAAAAGTGACTCAAGGACCTGTCATTGCAATTTTGTACCTATGACCTGTTGAAATCACATTTTATGTAGCCTAGTTGAAATCACATTTTGTCCATTTAACAAGATTTTTAGAACACAATCTTTGTTTAAAAATTAAATTATTATTTCTCGATAAATTACCACAGACAAAAATTTTGAATTTTCTATGGAAATGTGAGTTGTATCATAGATAAAACATACGTTGTATGTTGTTGGGATGACTCACACAGCTTAGACTTAAGTCTAAGAACTTTTAAGTTGTTCAGTTATTTACATCAAATTCTTTTTAAAACATCTTGAACAAGTTGGTTGCCAAAAACTTTGTAAACTCTAGCATGTTTTGTTTTAGGCTTTATATTTCTAAAATATTTTTGTAGGTTCAGGAATGTGTAAAAATACATTTTTGTCCATCATCCATACATCCATAATCTGAATATATTTAAAATATGTTCATACTTTGTTGCACTAAATGTATTTCAAGAGGTTTCAAATATTCATGTTACCATTACCATTCACAACAAATAGCATCGAAAAAATGCACATTTAAGTCGTTAACCTGATTTATTTTCAATAACAATGTTTCCAGATTAGCGAATTTCCTACAGGGAATAAGCTATTTTAGCTCTATTTGTTCATTAGTATAGACTTCTTAAAACTCATATCGGGCGGAGTGTGA